CATGCACTCTGAACATTTGGCCACTAGGGACCCTAAACTGGTGAGGCAAGGATAGCAGGATTCTCCTAGACGGGATAGAGATGGAAGTTGTAGGAGAGACAACGATCCTAATGGGCTGGCAAAGCCAGTACACTCCAGCATGTATGTTGTATCCAAGGATGGTCACTTATCTGAGATTGAAGTGGAGGTTGGTTTTGAAAATTTTTAGGGAGAGATTCAGCAAAAAGAAAACAGAAGAAGAGAAAAAGAAAGGGAGGGGAGAGGAAAGAGAAGAAAACTATCTTGAAGAATTGGAGATGGCAGGAAGAGATAAAGAAGCTGACCCTGTTTAGTTGACTGGAGTTCAGTGCAGGTGTCCCACTTTTGCATCCTTCTCTGTAGTTCCAGTTTTGAGGAGGGCTGGTTTGCAGAGTTTGATGGAAGCCCTCAGCACTTCAGCCTGTGAACTCTTCTGAAAAACAGCTAGCATTTATATTACTGCAGCCTCAGGAAATCCTTTGGGGCACTGAAAGAATTGGCATGAAGAAATCTTTCATTTTACTTACTAAATACTTCTATTGGGATTTTGGAATTTTTGCTTTCTCAGCATGTTTGTTTTAATGTGAGGTTGTGATTACAAGGTGGTTATTCTGATTTTAGAGACCATATATGAAAATTAATCTCATTACTTTGGAGCTTTATTATTTTTTTTTCTTTTTAACCAGATATTGGTACCATCTACACTGGTATAACACTGAACAAATTCAGCACTGTTAAGATTCTTTTTTGCTAAATCTCATTTTTTGGAAAAAAAAGTATTTGAATTTTCCATGCATGTTTGGATTTCATATGTCATGTATTTCTTGGCAGACCTAGACTTTTATAATCAAGGCATAGAGCCCTACATTTACATGAATATCCTCATAAAAATGTAGATATAATCCTGATTTATTTCCTAGTCATTCCTAAATTTCTCATAATTTCTTTTTAAATTTAGTAATATGTTTTTGGAAATATGTGTGATATGTAAAAGGAAACAAACTAGGTGTTATGTTTTTCTCATACCAGTGACATTTCTTACATTATTCTCAGTTTTATAGCATAGTATAGAGGCTAAGAGCGGACTTCCTGGGTTTAAATCTCAACTTTACCCATTATTAGTTGTGTGGCCTTGGGCAAGTTATTTGACCTTTCTGTATATGAATTTCATCATCCTTAAAAATGGGGATTATAACAGTAATAATCTCACAGAGTTGCTATGAAATTTTAAAAAGCTACCATATATTCAAAGAACTTAAGACAGTTCTTTGACATTATACTCCCTAACAAAACTCAGGAGAAAAGAGGTTATTCTCTTTAAGAATACACATTGCCCTGTGAGTACTATCTTGCCACTTCTGTTCCTTTGTGATTCTGGGTACCTACACAACAAAATTCTAAGTGTTTTGAGTTCCCAGTGTTTTTATTCCATATGTGTAACTACAGTACACGTGATTGTTAGCTTTCTGATTATTTTTCTCTGATATATGTAGGATATTGTGTGAAAGAAGGGAGTCACAGGATATAAAACATACTGATACTATACTTGACAGTTTAATTTGATAAAATTATCCAGAATATGGGTGTATGCCAATCACAACAACTAGACCCCTAGAAAATTTGCAAAGATGGCAGGATCTCAATTTTTGTAGGAATCTTTCCCCACCCTCTGGCACACATGGCCTTACAAAGGTGCATAAAGGTAATTATTACTTACTGTTCAGCCAGCATGTGATGGACAGCATGACATTCTATGGACCATGTTTCCTGTGGATTAGATTCTGACAGTATGCTGGAGAGTTGATAGAGCCCTGAAGTAGTACAGTAGCGTGCCATCTAGAGGCAGATTGCTTTAGATAGCTCATATAGAGAAAAACAGAATTTGACAGATCAATAGTTGTATACCAGATGCCAGGGAATATGTCAGTTTGCTTCAGCAATGAAACCACATCTGATAGAGCAACTGTACTCTCCAAAATCCATCTGTTTTCTACAAGACTGAATAGGCAACTTGAATGAGAATGTGGTAGGAATGATCACCTTCATCCTCTAAGTTCTTGATGATAACCTTAATCTCTGCAGTCTCTGCAAGAATGAAGTGTTGCTTTTTGTTTACTGTTCTCAGAGTTAGAAGTAGTTCTAGGGTTTGCACTGGACCTTTCCTACCATTATAGCCCTTGCTCTCCATAGATTGGGAACCAGTGAGGGAATCTGCTGAGTTTGTCTGTTCTAACTCTGCCTTTCAGAACTGGTAAAATAACCATGGCATGAGTTCTGGAATGAGTGTATATGTGTGACTATATCATTGATGTACGCATTTACATATAAAATATAATTTTAAGTTTTTCTTAGTTGGAAAATGTGGTGAGCATTTCCAACAATGGCAGATAAAGACTAATCTAGATTAGATTTATTGCCAGTACTGTTGTGTAATTATTAATAATACCAACCTGAGCTAATTGCTCTTCTCATGCTGCTACTGTCCCATTCCTTTGGAAATATAAATTTTAAGTACAAAATTTTTATTTAATCTTACATAAAATTCAAAGAAACTTCAGGTCACAATGGTATTTGAGGTGAAGTCCTGAGAGGAAAGACTCTTTTAACCTAGTTACTGTGAGCATTCAAAAGCATAAAATGTGGTATATGTATACCACGGAGTTCTACCCAGCCACAAAAAACAGTGGTGATCTAGCACCTCTTGTATTATCCTGGATAGAGCTGGAGCTCATTCTACTAAGTGAAGTATCACAAGAATGGAAAAATAAGCAACATATGTACTCACCATCAAATTAGTATTAACTGACTTAACTGATCAACACTTAAGTGCACATATAATAGTAACATTCATAGGGTGTCAGGCAGGTGGGAGAGGGGAACAGGGGATGGGTGTATTCATACCTAAATGGATGCAGTGCACACTGTCTGGGGGATGGACATGCTTGGAGCTCTGACTCAGGTGGGCCAAAGGCAATATAAGTAACCTAAACATTTGTACCTCCGTAATATGGTGAAATAAAAAAAAGCACTGCTTGGTTGCTATACTTCTCAATAAGAAAAGGACAAAGGCCAAGGAATATTTACATTCCATTGAGCCAGAATTATCATGAATGAAGAGCACTGTATCTATACGGGGGCAAAGGCATTATTAAGTCTATGCACACTTTTAAGTAGTTGCCTGATATTTTAAATTCAAGTTCTTTTTCTTAATGTTTAACTACAAAATTGCTTTTGTTTAATCTCTTTGTACACTCTTTATATCTTAGGGAAATTGACCACTTATACTTAATAGGCATCAAAAAGTTGATTAGAAGCTCTATGTTCATGGGCTGGACTTGGCAGTGAGTGGGCTTCAGTATACAGGGTGACTGAGCACCAAGCTGTCATTTTTCTTGGGTTACCATCAAATTTTAGTATATAGTGTTTTTTGCCTTTGGGGCTGTTTAGTTACTGAAAGAGATGAGTGCTTCAGTCTTCTGCATGGGCAATATATGCCCAGCTTCTGGCAGCCTGGGAACAGGTTGGAAAAAGTAACTAGGTTCTCAAGCTGAATGTGCATTTACTCCGTCCCCTTGTTTTCAGCCCTGCACTGCTAGTTTTGAGTTTGGTGCTTGTCAGGTTCAATTGTGCTATAGACTTGGGCTACCGGGGGTGTATGCTTTTATGCGATTGTTCAGAGGAGGGGAGAACTAGGTACAGAGTGGTGTTCCAGTGGGTCCGATTTTCAGTTTTCCAGTTTTCAGCTCCTGCCACACTCTCTGTGGTTACTGGTATCTAGAGTTTCTCTGGGGATCTATGGGATGTTTCAGTTTCTTTAAAGCATATTTCCCTGGATAAATTGTTCTCTCTTCTGTTTTCTTTAAGTCAGTTACCACACCACCAGCTGCTTTTTTGCCTTAAAACATTAAGGAAAAAATTCCTTATCTACTGATGTATCTGTCTTTAATTCATACCTCTTGTCCTTTTGAGTTTACACATTTTGTTAGAAGAAAAATCCCTTTATTGTCATTTCTGTGTAATTTGGGGGATACAGTGTCATTGGTCAGTCTGCCATTTTTAACCAGAAATTGAGAAACCATTTGTTCATTGTTTTCTCTTTAGTGCCTGGCACATAGTAGGTTGTTAAATATTTGATGAGTAAACAATTGAACGGAGTTAGAGGTTTTTATAGTAATGGGAGGTTTTTTTTTTTATTTATTTTTTATTTATTTTTATTTTTTTATTTTTATTTTTTGTAATGGGAGGTTTTGATCACAGAAAAGATATTATTACTATATTTGTAAATATAACAACTTAAAAAGCATGTTTTAAATTATGGTTTTGCTTTGGCTCCATTCCATTTTTGTTTTTGTTCCTCAACATGGTCAAGGAAACTAAATATTTTAAAGTGTGTACTTCTGCTGAGTGGAAGTATGTTTGTTTACTTGGTCAGACACAATTTTATGTTACCTTAGGCTTAAGGTACACATTTGTCTATTTAATTTTTCTCTAGAGGTAGACATGTATTGAGGTTGATTTATGTAGCAAGTGCAGGCTTTATTCTGAATTATATATATATTTACAGTAGTTCTGAAGAGGCTGATGGTGGTTATGGTGTAAAGCCTTCCAACTACACCCTCCCCATTGGCCCCTAGGTGGTTAAGTTTGAGAGCCACTGGCTTAGTGTGACTTCTTATCCAGGTATGTGTTCCATTGCAAAATGAATATGTGAGGATGAATAAAATCTAGTAGGGACAAAGAAGTTAAACTATAAAAATAAGAGTAAATACTAAAATTGGTATTTTGAACAAATAGATCAGTATTTTCCTAATTCTTAAAGGCAGTCCTGGACAAGAAAGACGGGAGTGTAGAGAGAGAGACAAGTATAGTAGAGTGGATTAAAAAGAGCAAACTGATCCTTCATGATGAAAGGTAAGAAGTCAAATATTATTATTTATAAATCTGATTTCTTACTTCCTTTTTGTGTTTGATTTTGTTTTCAGGCAAAAGGACTCCTGTGGAAGATGGAACTCATTGTCCATTTTCCAGAATGTGTTTCCAAGCCCATCAATGGAACCTGATACTGCTCTGCTGTGTTGAAAAGCTTGAAGAACGCCTGCATCTCTGCCTGCATCTTCCATCCTGCCGAAACCATGGTCTTCTCAGCAGTGCTGACTGCGTCCCACACTGGGGCATCCAACACGACGTTTGTAGTCTTTGAAAACACCTACATGAATATTACTGTCCCTCCAGCATTCCAGCATCCCAACATCAGTCCGCTGCTTCGATATAGTTTTGAAACCATGGCTCCCACTGGTTTGAGTTCCTTGACAGCGAATAGCACAGCTATGACCCCAACACCAGCAGTTTTTAAGAGCCTAAACCTCCCCCTCCAGATCATCCTTTCTGCTATAATGATATTTATTCTGTTTGTGTCTTTTCTTGGGAACTTGGTAGTTTGCCTCATGGTTTACCAAAAAGCTGCCATGCGATCTGCAATTAACATCCTCCTTGCCAGCCTGGCTTTTGCAGACATGTTGCTTGCATTGCTGAACATGCCCTTTGCCCTCGTAACTATTCTTACTACCAGATGGATTTTTGGGAAATTCTTCTGTAGAGTATCTGCTATGTTTTTCTGGTTGTTTGTGATAGAGGGAGTAGCCATCCTGCTCATCATTAGCATCGATAGGTTTCTTATTATAGTCCAGAGGCAGGATAAGCTAAATCCATATAGGGCTAAGGTTCTGATTGCAGTTTCTTGGGCAACTTCCTTTTGTGTAGCTTTCCCTTTGGCTGTAGGAAACCCTGACCTGCAGATACCTTCCCGAGCCCCGCAGTGTGTGTTTGGGTACACAACCAATCCAGGTTACCAGGCTTATGTGATTTTGATTTCTCTCATTTCTTTCTTCATACCTTTCCTGGTAATACTGTATTCATTTATGGGCATACTCAACACCCTTCGGCACAATGCCTTGAGGATCCATAGCTACCCTGAGGGCATATGCTTAAGCCAGGCCAGCAAACTGGGTCTCATGAGTCTGCAGAGACCCTTCCAGGTGAGCATTGACATGGGCTTTAAAACACGTGCCTTCACCACCATTTTGATTCTCTTTGCCGTCTTCATTGTCTGCTGGGCCCCGTTCACCACTTACAGCCTTGTGGCAACGTTCAGCAAGCACTTTTACTATAAGCACAACTTTTTTGAGATTAGCACCTGGCTACTCTGGCTCTGCTACCTCAAGTCTGCATTGAACCCACTGATCTACTACTGGAGAATTAAGAAATTCCATGACGCTTGCCTGGACATGATGCCTAAGTCCTTCAAGTTTTTGCCGCAGCTCCCTGGCCACACAAAGCGACGGATTCGCCCCAGTGCTGTATACGTGTGTGGGGAACATCGGACGGTGGTGTGAATATTGGAGCTATCTGACATTTTGGGTGATGGTTGTTGTTTATTGACTCTGAATTTTCTTTCCCATAGCTTCTCCACTACACTCACTCTTTTTTATAGGGTTTGTGTATGTGTTTGCAGTGTAAAGAAAGAATGGTAATTATTTATGGTTTTGTTACCAAGCATACACAATAGGAAAGTGATTACAGATTTTACCTCCAGGGTTCAAGAAAAGTAGAGAGATTTTTTTAAATTGATTTTGTTTTTGTAGTAGGAATCAGAATTATGCTTAATTGAGCCTGCAGTTACATTGAATTGTAGGTGTTCTGTATGCTGCTAAGATATGCTTAGTTGATTTTATCAATTTTTTTTTTTTCTGGAAGACACTGCTGCTTTTTGCCATCACATAGGAGCCAAAAACTCATACATCTAAGTTGATAAATATTTAGTTTTATTAAGAAAAAAATAACCCAAGGCGGTTAGTGACATTTTAAAGGTCATTACTATTTACTTTGGTGCACTTTAAGAAGCAATGTACAAATTAATTCAGTCATGTTTTTCAGAATTGTTTTTATACATGACATGTTATGCTTTAGGAAACATGTGCATTATCATTTCTGGGAAGATAGTTTTTTTAAAAATGTATCTGCACATACAGTTTTAAAGGACAGGTCATAAAAATGTAGAAATGTTTCTAAGCACAATAGCAACACTTCAGAGCAATAGGGCAAAATGGAGACAACACTCTTGCAAATTTAAAAGGGGAATGCAGTGAAGAGGGTGGCTATGGCAGGCTGTGGCAATTCTTTTTACTCAAGGGCTCTTGCCTGGTATAGGGAGAAGGTGCTGCCATTTATGGACACCTGCCATATGCCAGGCACTATGCACCATTGTATCCTCACAGTATCCTGTGAGGTAGGTATTATGTTTTTACCTTTTACAGTTGAAGAAAACAAGTCTCAGAGAGACTAAAGTCCTGACTGATTTTAGTGGTAGAGCTGGGATCCAAAAATCTGTCGGAGTCCTGAGACTGTGCTGTTCTACTGTGCCACACAGACACCTCATTCAGTTTAGATATCTCATATTCAAGAGGAAAGTCTGTATCCTTTAACTTGTTTTAGACTATAACCTTCTTTTTAAAAATAGCTTTATTTTCTTATTACCAAAAGAAATATGAAATCATTACAGAAAGTCTGGAAAATGGAAAAGAAAAGATAAGCTCACAACCACCTTTTAAAGTAGAACTTAAAACACCTTAGATAAATAAGGCTATAAAGGAAATAAGGTGAATTTCCTGATTTTCAAAACAAGTGACTGACAATTATTGAGAGATACAGCTGTATCTAGGCCTTGGCCCTATGGGTTTGGAGGCTTCCAGTTGTTCATCTGCATTGGTTCTAAATGTTCTGGGCAGAACAGCGTTGTTGCCCCAGTGCTTGCCTTAAAAGAGATGGAGTTTGTGACCATGTTCAGAGGTGTGTCTCCTATAAAGAAGGGAAAATAAATCCTGGTCTGAGCCTAAAGCAAGTTTCAATAGGGCAGGTCTTCAGTTTCATATGATTTTTCTTTTACTGACTATCTGCCCCCCAGGTGCATCCAGGGCCTGGTCACCACTGGCCCACTTCATAAAACAGCCCATAGGGATAGGGCTTCAGACTGAGCCATAAGGGCTGAAAGTGTAGCCTCTTGGCTACATCATGGGCTAACTAGGTAAGTTAACTATGGATTTATAGCATCTTTTCAGAATTTTAGTGCTTTGTGAGCCAGTGGAAAAAATAAGCCTTTAGTTGTAAACCTAGAGAGTTGGATCAGATGAATCCCTCAGGTCCTGTATGACTCTAATGTGCTTTTTTTCCAATGAGAGTATGGATTTTTGAGGAGCCCAGATGGCTTCAGCATCACTCTTTGGTCTCCAGTATTACTTTTTTTACATGTTACTTCATTAGCTATTTCTTAAAACTGAATGTCTGAAGAGCTCGTGGCACGGTGTCTGGAGTTAGGATGTTGGAAGATTGATGACATCACGAAAGACCTGGGAAAGTTGCAGCGGTATTAGAACTCATTGTCGGGTTAAAGAGCTCTTTTGGGACTCAAGCATATTATTCAACATGTTGTTTTGGGATCATCTTCAGATGATAGTCACCTACCTCTTTAATTTCTAATTTATATTATTTGCTGGTAAAATTGTTTTTGTCCATAGGGATTGTATAGGACATAAGCACTGTAGTAGATAGTAGTAGCACGTTGAAATGTATTATGCTTTCCATTTTCACTATAAACTGGATTTCAATAGGAATATTTTTGATTAGACTTCCTCTGAGGAAAGTCAGCATGGTCTGTATTCATCTTACATATTGGTAGGTCATAAGACTCCCGTTGTGGCTGGAGTTGAAACTGAGCTTTGTTTCTTTGTTATTTTATGGGCCATCTTTAGGTACTTCTAGGCTGCTTAGTAGGCAGCGCCCCATTTGGTGAGAGCTCTGAGTGCCTGCTAAGGTGCTCCGTGTTGGTAAAAGAAGACTTTGAGGGCCCTTTTGAGAATTCAGCAACAGCGCTGAGCAGCAGTTCTCCTTACACTGGATAATCTTGATGAGATGACAGTTTACACATCATTTTGGACATTTTTATTGCATATACATTTTGAAAGCTTTAAAAAACAAGTACTATGGTGCACCTTCAATAAATTAGGTGCAAAAATCATGTGTTGCCTAATCCCTATATTCTCTTGAGGGGAAAAAAATACCACTACTAATTCTCACTGCTGACTGAAATAATCAGAAATGGGTTTTTTGGTTGTTGAATTTTTGCTTTTCCTTCTGGCTAGTAAGTAGGAAGCATAAAAGAGATGACAAAATATTTGTGGTCAAAAGAAAGAGTCAAGAGAAATCCCAAATATTAATAGTATGGAGTAGTGTTATTTAAACTTTAATATGTGTTTAGTTATCCCCAGGGGAGCTAAACAGTACAGATTCCTGGGCCCTCAGAGGGTCTTCCACTGGGCCCTGGAATGCACATTTTTATTTTGGCAAGTGCTCCGCCTGCTTCTGGCTCAGGTGGTCCCTGAGACACACTTCAAGAAGTGTAGAAGATACATCTATTTAAATATTGTCTGTTTTATCCCAAAATGTTTGTTTTGTGTTAGAGGCCATTATCTTCTAGGCATGGGTGATCTGCATTGAGAGGAAAATCTACATATCATTGTGCCTCATTTGCTGCCACCTGTGTTTGTGCTGGATCTTGCCAGTGTTAGCGTTACTTTCTTTCAACTGGCAAAATTCTTATAAAACCATAAAGTTTCACAGTAGAGCAAAAAGAGTAACTTAATTAAAAGTCATGACTTTCAGAAGTCTAATTAGTCTAATTTTTTTTTCTCCTAGAGAGATGTCTTTGTTGTGTGTAATCCCTGAAGAGTATGAGGAACATGTAAAGATTCATCTAATTCCTACTGCTCTGCTTATGCCAGTTGTGTTCAATGGAAGCATGAAGTAAAATAAAATAACCTTTTTAATCTATGTATTTCTGTTGCTGATAGACCTATTTAATTTTTTTCTTGATCTTTGCTTTTGTTTACATGAAAATATTTATGTATTTGTCACAGAAAAGTTTTCACTTGCTTGACATTTTATTCTACTATGATTCTTAGTTTAAGTTTAAAAAACTGCTAAATTCAAATTTACTTCTACAACCATAGTCCTGCTAAACTGCCTTCATTGAAAACTCAGTTTTTATAATAATAACTAAAAATATCAAAGCACATGTTTGTTATTGCAGGTAAATGGTAATAAATTTCTTAGATATCTATTGGTACTAATCCTTTGTAATTAAAATTAATTTATTTTACAATAGTACCTGACCTGAATGAAAACAAACCAACCTTGAATTTTGGGTTGTAATATTAAATATCACAAAGTATGGTTATTTGTGCTAATTCTTATTGCAACCAAGATTGAACTCCCAATGAGAAAATGAATAAATGTTTCAGATTTCTAAAGTGGAGTTTTTTTTTAAAGGACTGTTGCATCTCATCTTAGAAAAATTTATCATGAATAATAATTTCTATTAAATTAAAATCCAGGGTTAGTTTCAAATCCTGTTTCCTTTGAGTTCTTATTAAATATTTTCAAATTAGCTCTCAAAGCCTCTGTGCACGTAACCATATGTTAGTTTTAGAAGTTCTCAGATTAGTTCAGGATGAAATGAAACTTGACAAAATGCTATTAGTATTACGAAAGAGTTTTAAGAAATTCTGTCTAGGAAAGTTAAGAAAATTTTACTGCTGAGTCATTTAAAATTAGATTGTTGGTTGGCCAAGCTATGACAACGTCTGCTTCTCTTTGATGAAATGATTTCATACTGCAGTTCCATTTCTAAAATCTAAGGCATTCTAAAACTCACTTATAAATCCCTAGGAAACATCTTTTATTTATATATAAGGGTTTCAATTTTGTGCCAGTTAAACAAGAGGGTTTTCTTTTCTTTTTCATACATATGCAATAGCTAAATATAATTCTTTTTAGGTTACAAAAGAAGGTTGATTTACAAAAGAAGGCTGTCATTGAATCTGTACTTGATATTTCCTTCTGAAATGGAAAGGTAAGAAAGCTGTAGCAAAATAAAGTAACATGTTGAATTAAAAGCATATTCACATGTATGAAAATAATAAGCCCCACTCAATTTATCTATAATAAAGAGAACCCTTATGGAGCAATTTCTTTCTATCTTAAATATCAAGGCACAATTAGATTTAATGCAAAAAAGAAAAAATAAATATTTCATAGCACTATCAGTCAAGGTTTAGCCAGAGAAGCAGAATTAGTAGGGTTTAGCCAGAGAAGCAGAATTAGTAGAAGATATTTATTGCAAAGAATTAGCTTACAAGATTTTAGTGCCGGCTAGGCAAATCTGAAATCTGGGGCAGGCCTTCAGGAAAGGAAGATTAGAGCTCTCAGGCCCAAACTGCAGGTGTTGTCCACAGGTGTAATTTCTTTTTCCTCACGGAGGCCTCAGCTCTGCTCTTAAGGCCTTTCAATGGATTGAATCAGGCCCACTCAGATTATCTAGGCTAATGTCCCTTAATTAATGTGGACTGATTATAGACTTTAATCATATCTTCAAAATACCTTCATAGCAACACTTAGATTAGTGTTTGATGGGGCTATAGTCTAGCCAATTGACTCGTCAAAAGACCATCTCAATGTTTATTTCTAAGTTTAAAATACTATATGAAATAAAATCTTTCTGTGATGCTAGAGGTGGTGGTCCAAAAAATCAATCACTTAAATCTTAGTGTTAAATAAGTGGGAGGTTTAAAAAATGACCAAGTTAAACTTGTTGCAAAGTATGGAATACACATTGACTGTGTTATATTCAAACATGCATAATCACAGGGCACCAACCATATTTTTCTTTTTCACTTTATTTTGAGAAAGGTAGTAGTAATCAATTGACCAATCAATTGATGATATATAAACCAATGTCCTTTCTATATAAACTTTCATTATCTGTGATACTTGCCAGAGGTGATACTTTTCTTCTAAGGAATTTGAAAGTATTTATAATTATAACAATATTAACTCTAAACATAAAAATACAATAATAGAATAATACTGGGTGCCATTGTTTGGCCACTTGTGGTCAAAATACACTTTTATCTATTTTAATCCACAGTATTTCTACTTTTCTAGCTGTGTTCCCAAGAGGGTAAGTAAATTTTCAGGTATAGTTGGGGTTCACATAGTTGGGATTCACATTTAGGATACTTTTCCCTATAACAGATAACGGAACTGAGCCTCTAGTGAGAAGAGCTTATTAAACATCATACTGGGTGATGATTATTCTCCATGCATTAGGTAAAAAATAATCCTAGCAGTGGAACCTATATTCCAAGCTATGGATATTAATGCTAGAATTGGGTTGGTTTGGTCTTGGTTTTTAGTCATTAACTGTATTTGGATAAGTCAGAAATGAGACTTTTAGGCTGACTGGGCCCCTGAGAACGTTGAACACAACCATGTCTAATGTCATAGAAGCTTCATGGACCTAGCCAATTGGCAGAAATTTTGGGGACACATTGACACTCAGCCACTTTCCTCAGATCACATGGATCCTACAACCCCTTTTGGAAAGGCCTTCACCCTGATACACAATTGGGGTTTTATTATGTCTGAAGTACTGGGGGTTACCTGTAGTAGCCAAGAATGAGGGAGAGGAGGTGGAGGTGATGAAGTCTGGTAGATCAGGGAAGGCAAGGTGGTGCCTAAATGTTGGCAGAGGCAGTGTGAGTCTTTCCTGATCACGCCTCCACCTTGTACCCTACCTTCCTTGCTGGGGCTACCTACCTCAGCCCTCTGGGGAAGAAAAACCCAAAATATAAAGAAAAACTGTCTTGAAGACTCCAGCAGTTCTATAGAAGAAAACTCTGAAGTAGCCATCCCTGAGAAGTGATTTCGCCCTCCAGACCGTGAGCCCCTTGAGCCAATGAATAGTGTTGACCTCAGTGCTTGTTCACTCAATATTATTATTATTACAGACTTTTTTCTATGAAACAGAAAGCTGAAGCAGAGGTGAAGACCAATGTTTGGGTGTTCAGAAGATATCAGTGTGTGAGGATCAGAATATCAGCATCTTCATATGTAAACTGACCCAGTGGGACTTTCCTGAGTGTCAATATTGTCTATGTATTAAATATGAATAGAGTAATGACCCACCAGTTTGGAATTTATGATAAGTAGGCACTGGTTTGTATGTGATTAATCTATCTAAATAAAATTGATTAAACCAATTAATAATATAAACATCATTGGAGAGTATATACCTCTCAAAAATAACAAATGGGATAAGCCAAGAGTGCTGAGCTGGGATTCAGGAGCCCTTGGATCCTTGTGCCAGTTTTGAAACACCTGGTGTGTCTCCAGAACTCTTTCAGCCCATCATAAAATGGCCATATTTTTAGATGCCCTTAAAGTCATGACTGGTATAGTAATTAGAATTGCCCAATCAATTGAATCATTTGTATTAAAAAAGGTACCAAAAACTCTGTTACTGTAATTTGTTATTGTACATTTTTGAAAATAATGAAACAAAATTTTTAAAATTATGTAATTTAACTTCTGTGACAGTAGCTCCATTAGAGGTTTTCAAATGCGTTATACTCCAATAAGCAGATGAGGAACAGTTTTGGGACAAGAAAATGACTTGACTAAATTTTGATAGCACTTAGGAGGCAAAGCTGGGATTCAGACCAGACTCACCAGCTCCCAACTTAAGAGTTATTTCCACTTCACCCTGAGTCAGTGAGATTTTGCTGCCAGGAAGAGAAATGTTGAATAGTGAGGTTGCAAGGTTCATAAAATAAAAAATCCAGTAATCAAGAAGAGGCCATGCAAATGATCCTAGAAAGTATCTTATTTTTTTTTTTATGAGTTTGCCTACTTTAGCTAGATATCTTGTATCACAGGAATCATATAATATTTGCCCTTTTGTGTCTGTCTTATTTCATTTAGCAAAATGCTTTCAGAGTTCATCCGCATTGTAGCATATATCAGAATTTCCTTCCTTATATGTATAACACATTTTGCTTATCTAGTCATCTGTTGATGGATAAATACAATTTTTATTTATTTATTTTTAAAGATTTTATTTTTTATTTATTTTTAATTTTTTTTCCAGCATATGGTGGGGGTACAAATGTTAAGGTTATGTATATTGCCCTTACTCTCCCTCTTGAGTCAGAGCTTCAAGTGTGTTTATCCCCCAGTTGGTGCACATCACATTCATTATGTATGTATAAACCCAACCCCTCCCCCCACCTGCCCGACACCCAATAAATGTTATTCCTATATGTCCACTTAGGTGTTGATCAGTTAATACCAATTTGCTGGTGAGTACATGTGGTGCTTATTTTTCCATTCTTGGGATACTTCACTTAATAGAATGGGTTCCAGCTCTATACAGGAAAATAGAAGAGGTGCTGTATCATCGTTGTTTCTTATAGCTGAATAGTACTTCATGGTGTACATATACCACATTTTATTAATCCATTCATGGGCAAAGGACATGAACAGAAACTTTCCAAAAGAAGACAGAATAATGGCCAACAAACATATGAAAAAATGCTCAACATCTCCAATCATCAAGGAAATGCAAATGAAAACCATAATGAGATATCACTTGTCTCCAGTGAGAATGGCCCTTATTAACAAGTCCCAAAACAATAAATGTTGGCATGAATGTGGAGAGATAGGAACACTCCTACACTGCTGGTGGGACTGCAAACTAGTTCAGCCTCTGTGGAAAGCAATATGGAGATACCTTAAAGTGATAAAAGTAGATCTACCATTTGATCCAGCAATCCTATTACTGGGCATCTACCCAAAAGAAAGTATCTTAATCTAATAGGGACATTTTTATTAGTAGAAATAAGAATAATAGAATTTTTATAACATTTTAAAGAAAATAATAATTTTTATGAGTTCATCACTCAAATTTAACCACTTAAAAAAAAACTGAGCTCATGAAGAAAGAAAGGCATATGGGCAGACCAGTGTGACCAGGCCATGAATTGCTGCTTCTCAGAGCTGGGGCCAGCGGTTTGCTCTCCTCAGCTTGGACTTGTGCTTCTGAGGGGACCTACGCTGGCCCTCCATGCCTCACCTGCGCCATAAGTATTGCTAGCATGTTTGCCTCCTGGGCTTATACTGGAAGAACTTTTTGTTCACAGATACTGGGGACTCCTTGGGAAGCTGTCAGTAGCCAGAGATTCCTTTCTGCTCTCATTTCCTTTTCCTGGACTCATTAGCAAAGTAACTGCAAATGCCACAGATGATATTTCTCTGTGACAGGAAAAAAAATAAGTAGGCACTGTTTTTTGTGATTAACTATCTAAATAAAATTGATTAAACCAATTAATAATATAAACATCATTGGAGAGTATATACCTCTCAAAATAACAAATGGGATAAGCCAAGAGTGCTGAGCTGGGATTCAGGAGCCCTTGGATCCTTGTGCCAGTTTTGAAACACCTGGTGTGTCTCCAGAATCTTTCAGCCCATCATAAAATGGCCATATTTTAGATGCCTTAAAGTCATGACTGGTATAGTAATTAGAATTGCCCAATCAATTGAAGTCATTTGTATTAAAAAAGGTACCAAAAACTCTGTTACTGTAATGTTATTGTACATTTTGAAATAATGAAACAAAATTTTAAAATTATGTAATTTAACTTCTGTGACAGTGCTCCATTAGAGGTTTTCAAATGCGTATACTCCAATAAGCAGATGAGGAACAGTTTTGGGACAAAAAATGACTTGACTAAATTTTGATAGCACTTAGGAGGCAAAGCTGGGATTCAGACCAGACTCACCAGCTCCCAACTTTAGATTCTTTCCACTTCACCCTGAGTCAGTGAGATTTGCTGCCAGGAAGAGAAATGTTGAATAGTGAGGTTGCAAGGTTCATAAAAATAAAAATCCATAATCAAGAAGAGGCCATGCAAATGATCCTAGAAAGTATCTTATTTTTTTTTTATGAAATTGCCTACTTAGCTAGATATCTTGTATCACAGGAATCATATA